TGCAGTGAGAGATAGGCACACAAGAGTTTTGGGGACCAAATGTGAATGAAAGTGAAATGGGCTACATCCTACCTGGGCCCATCAAAATCACCTAGGAGCCGATTTCCCACACTCCTTTTGGATCATCCAAATGGGAAGATGACAGGGTTTTTGTGTAGTTGTTGGCCATTCATTAACTCTTGCAATTACTTCCATTATATTACTTTATTATGTTTAAATTATTATACATTTTGGGTCAACTTCTTATGATCACCACCAGTCTACCCTAACATAAACAAGTAAAGTGTGCTGCGTATAAGTGATCTCGGAGGAACGTGGAATAGTTTCTCAATTATGCAAAGGTTCATTTTTTGGAAGGGAACTGTGGCTTTATTTCCTTGTTTGGCCAGTGAGGCAGGCTGAGCAGTTTGCCTTTTGGTGATTAGTCAGAGACCAAATCCTATTCCCTCATCTGACCCCTCCCGTTCTTCTTTGGCTTCAACCTTGGCTGTGGTGGCCGCAGCAGCAAGAGCAGCAAAAGTAGGGGCAGCAGCTGCAAATGCAGAAGGATCAGCCAAGCAGGCGTTGACTTTTCAGCAAGTGGAAGGTGTGATCACTCCTGCAGAGAAGGCCAGGACCTGCAGGTACCACTGAGGACAGAACGGGGCCCTGGTGCGACAGTCGGGCAGCAGCTGCAGACAAACGCCCACCATGTTGCAGACACCCTACAGGAAGCTGGGCTGTGGAGCTTCCTGGGTAACATCAAGCACCTGGGTTGGAGCTGCTGCCGCTGCCAAACCCCTGCTGGAGGATCAGCTCAGAGAGAATGGGCTTGGCTGACTCCCACTTTGTCTCCAGTCTTAACCAGCCTTGCATCACTAGGGATTTCAATGGCGCCCTGCAGATTTTAATGGTGACTCCTAAAGCCTGGAAGAAGGAGGTTTTTTTGGGCCTCCAACCAGTTCTGGGTTGGCACAGTGACTTCCCATGGTGCAGTGGCGATGGCAGGGGTAGTGGCATATCCCTGATCTCACTGAGGTGCTCCTTGCTGAACACAAAGCCCACATTCTCTTGGCTATGAGGCCACACTTTCTCCAGAGCAGGTTGTTTTCTGTTGCCCTTGGATGGCCTTGTGAATAATGGTGCTCCTGTCCATCGGGATGGCCTTTCCTTGGAGAGGCCCATCTGCTGTATCTGCTTGTGTTCACACTGACGCATTTTGGTTAATCACCCAAAAGTTGGATTGTAAGGAACTAGTTGGATTTCCAGGTTACCTTGCCTTTCCTGGGCATCATGGTGACGTGTCAGGGAAGGGTTAAAAGATAATGTCACTCTCATGAGGACACCTGGAAGAGGTATCACAAGGACAGGATCTTCATTTTTGACCTTCATAATCTGAGTAACATCTGTGTGTTAGCTTTTCGTGACCATGACTAAATACCTGAGAACAGCCCGAAGAAGAAAAGCTTTACTTAGGTTCACGGTTTCAGAGGTCTTAGTCCATGGTTTCCTGGCTTCATTGCTTTTAGGCCTGGGAGGATGAAGAAATATCACAGGAGAAAGCATGGAAGTGGAGAGCTGCTCATCTCCCAACAGCCAGAAGTCAGAAGGTTGGAGGGAAGTGTGCACACATTACAGTGACCTCCTTCCCCTGACGGGCCCTACCTCCTGATAATCCATTCAGCCACCAGCTCATGAATGGATTAATCCATAGATAAGGTTAACATTTTCACAATCACTTCTCCAGGTGCAATCTTTCAGAGAATCTGGAGCTAGTCCTTTCTTCTCTAATGGAGTATGAAGTTCAGTAAAATGAGAAATAGAGGGGACCTATAGTTTGTGCCATCCCATGATTAATAAGTTACCTGCATATTCTTATTGTTAAAGAAAAATGTATTCTGACACTTTTAAATAAAATGAAAAGATTTAATCAAGTACTGCCACAATGAAAGTTTGAAGTAGAGACATTACACTCAACTTCAAATACAACAAAGAAAAATGCAGAATTTATAGCCAAGGGGCAAGCTGGTATGCAGTGGATGGAAAAACTACAAGGTGGAAAACTCAGGGTAAGGATTCTGCATAAACAGACAAGAAAGGAATCTTGGAAGGCACAGTGTGGCAATCAGATATTGTCTAGCTGGGGGGATGTGTTCAGTATGGAATATGGCAAGCCACCAAGGGTGGAGGACTCTTGTTAACTGGCTTAGTGGGATTCTCATTCTTGAGGATGAGGTCCAAGGACAAAGGCCTAGGATAGAAAACTTAGAAGTCAAGGAGGGGACCTTTTCAAGATCCACAGTGGAGATTCCACAGTTGGGTGGACATTCCTCCTAGGTTGGTAGCAGCTGGGTGTGTGACACAGTTTATGTTTAATGACAGTCTTAAGTATTGGGCCATAGACACAAGTGTCCGTGGCTAGGAAGAATCCCACTGTTGTTGGGATACCAGTGCTCTAGCTGGATGCTCATTAATAAAGAAATAAGTGTGAAATTATCTAAATATGCTTTAGAGTGCTATGTATTGATGCAAAACAGAATTAAACACATTTTTTATATGAGGAGTCAAATAGTAAGCATTTCAGACATTATGCCCATATAGTTTCTTTAGCAACTTGTCTGTGCTGTGTAGCATCCAAGCAGCCACAGAGAAATATGCATAGTTATCTTCCAAGAAAACTACCAACCTCCAGTCTAAAAAGTGTGTGTGTGTGTGTGTGTGTATATATATATATATATATAACATATATATAAACATATATATAAAAAGTGTATATATATAACATATATATATAA